TTTTTTTTTGTTAAATCTAAACCCAAAATTTGCCCAATTAACTCTTCTTAACTTGAGATGAACTCAAGTCCATCTTTAACTCATTTAGTTCAAGTTAAGGAAGTCATATTTAGGATTTCATGAACAAAAATAAAAGTAAAATCTTCTATAAGACCTAAAATACCCTTCGACAACCCTTAGACCCTAGGACCCAATGAATCAAAACTCACTTCAAAGTCTTAGGATTCATCTTAGAAGTCTTTAGACCTTCTTTGACTCACCCTAGAGTTAAGTAGCTTAATTAACCCAATTTGATTAGATTAACCCATAATGAATCATTGCCCAACTAATTAAATCAAATCTTTTTTGTTAAAGTATTTGGTTCATAACGAACTCAACTAGCTTGCACGTCATTAGGAACCATATTTGAGTCAATCTTGGCTAGCCTAACATGATTGAATCTAGTAGACTACCTTAAATGCTTTCAAACAAAATGAAAGCTACCTCACCAAATTTAAAGTGAAAAACAGTAATGCTTTTAATATAACTAGACAGGTCACAAAGTCCATGGTGAGTCATATCAAGTGTAACTGAATCAAAGCAAAATTTTGATCTAATCAAACACAATTATACAAAAACTACTCTATCTGTAAATTCTTATAAAATAAGCTTTAAATTCAAAAAAATTGCAATAACAACTTAGCACATGAGCTTTCAAAATACAATGGATCCATTTTGGGTTAACTTAAACTAACTTAAAATTGATTTAATCTTAGGCAGATATTCTAAGTAAACTCAACTCCTCTTAAACTTAATTCAACCCAAACTAAACTAATGCCTTGAACCCTATTCAAGTTCAAACCAAACTTAAATACTAAATTAGCTCACCAAACTCAAACACACTTAAATTTCAAATTAAATTGCCTAAGCTAAAACTAAATTCATTGATAATCTCTTAAGAACCTCCCAAATAATTTTATAATAAATGAGGTAGCTGAGTGCTAATTAGTAAGCAAACTTAAATGTTCTAAAAGCAACACACGATAGGGCTTATTCCAAGATCACAAATCACCCTACATAGGATAATACTAATTCTAAATATACCTAATGGCTGAGATGTTACATGTAAGCTTAAATTAAAACACATTTAAAACTATTTTAGCCTACCTCAACCTTGTTCATATTGATGCTAAACCATTAAAAAGTGCAAGTTAACTATAATTAGTTCACTGAGAATGTAATTAATAGTTTATTAAAATCATTTAAATAACCCTAAAGGTAGCCTACCTATTGTATAGTCCATTGCAACCCGAAGTTAAGAAATACAAGAAGGTATTTAGGCTCAATTTAACTCTTAAAAACCAAGAAAACCATCTAACTCACTTAAAATTATCTAGGATTGTTGGCATTTTCCATTGGATCCATCCAGATAGCTAAAACCTTGAATTATGAAACTTGCCACTCTCTTGACCGATTATTTCATCAAGCTCAAACTATAAATAACTCTTATTTTAATAGAGTTAAATTTGAATAGTGGTATTCTCAGCTTTCCATGGAACTCCAACTAACTTCTTGAACCCTCAATTCTTCAAAATACCCCACTCCTAAACCAAGAACCACCCAAGTTTGTATCTCCTATTTTGACTACCATCAAGAATTAAAATCAAATTCCCCTCAACTCTAAACACCAACTAATAGGTGTTCTTGTGCCTTTGGCAAACCTCCTAGAATGCATCAAAAGCTTTGAACCCTCCTTCAAGCTAGTTATCACTCAAGCCTTTTCTAAATTTTTTGTTTGGGACTTTAATATTTTGTGAAGAAAATAGTGAAATCATCTCAATCCCATAGTAGAATAGCTTCTAAGGTCATGTTTGAACTCTATGAAGTTTTTTTATTATAATCTCAATCCATTAATTGGATTATTAATTTTCCTAATGCATTTGACTTAACAATCACAACTCAAAATTAATATAATAAATAAGAAATAAAAATATGTTCAAATGATGTCATTTACTCTCTAAAGTTATTAATAATCCTAAAAACTCATTCATAAGATTCTTGAAACAATTTTTCAAAAAAATTGAATTAATCAGTTTTGTTAATTAAATTATTCAAAAAATTAAAGTAAACTTTCCAAAATAATAATAATCACAATTAATAAAAAAATTCACCAAAATTTAACTATATAATGTTTATGATAGAGAGTATAAAAAATAATTTGAAGTCATTTTACTCATAAACATATTTTTAAAATATAAAATTTAAATAAATTCAATAAACTATGAATAATTGATTTGACCTCAAGTTAATCTCAAATTTTTATAAAGAGTTTTGGCGACATTCCAAGCTCTATAAATTTTTGTTGAAATTGTTTACTATTTAAAGTTTCAATAATTTTTTGGTTAAGAAATGGCTAAAAAATAATAAATAACTCAAAATATTTAAATAAATTTTAAAATTTTCATGAAAATTTATTGAAGACGTATTTTGTTTTAGAAATTAATTTCATAAGGTTTTGAGATCTTTTGAACTCATTATAAAAAATAAAAATATTCATAATTCATCTAGTTTTAAAAAAAATTGAAAATAAATCTAAAACATATGGAAAACTACGTTTTTGTGCTTTTAGGAGTTATGAAATATCATTTTATTCCAATTGAATGATCTGCTTCAGATCTCTTAAATTACTAGTTGGCTTCAAAGGCAAACTTATACATTCATGAGTAATCTTTAGAACCCTAAAATCAAATTAAAAAGACAAAACCCTAAAGTCCAAACAAAATTCTTAAAATACTAATTATCCTTTATAATTTTTTATAGGATAATTATGACATGGATTCTCAAAGTCAGTGCCTAACAGATCTTAGTGGATCTCGTGGTCATTCTAACCATTCTAACTTCAAGATCTGGAATAAAGTTGTCAGGTGAAAGGAAATTATCTACAATCTCAAACTACAAAAATTTGTATATGAGGCACATAACTAACATTCCAACCAGAGGTCGACATCGATTGATTATAAATTTTTAGGTGTGTGGTTGTGTTGATTGAGTAGAATGAGATTAGTGAAGCAAGGAATGATAGGGTCGAAAGGCTTGAGATGACCATTACATAGCCACAACTTTTGACACATCATCGTGACAAGCAACCTATGATAGAGGAGGAGGACGAGCAAGAGAACAAGTAGCTTTATTAATTTTTTTTTTTTTATGTATGTGTTTAACTATTTCATTTATGTTGTGAACATTATTCTACTAAATTATTTATTTGCATTTGTCATGTTTACTATGTTATCTTTCATTTTCATTGTCTATATTAGATCTTATTATGTTGCTATGAGAAATTATGAAAATGCAGTTTGCAGCCTATTAAACGAAAATGTTTACTATGTTATATATGATAACATGTTTACTATGTTATCATATTTACTAGATTTAATAAATCCTATTAAACGAAAATGCAGTTTGCAGCCAAACACCACCTTAATGACTAAAAATCACAGATTACCATCTAAAATTTAGCCAGTAATTAGTTACTCATGTATTGTCCAAACCCTGAAAATATCATGTGTTCCTCTTTATGGGTTCACTAATCTTTTCTATTGCTTTAAAAATCCAATAAACTAGTAATATAAATTAAAAAAAAAAAATCAAAAATATATTTGAAACTTAACACTGCGGGGTGCCACAAACTATATTTAAAAATCCAATAAACGACAGAGAAATGCACCTAATTTATGTTTGGGTTTCTTTTTTTTCCTTAAATAGATCTTAGTATTACATACCACCCACTTCATATGTATTTACATATCTAACACCTAAACTTTAATTTTTACATTTATACCACTTCGATCTTTCACATCACATTAAAAATACAAGCATTTTAACTTCTAAAAAGTCAAAAGACATGCATATGCAAGGTGGCATGCATGTAAAAATTGAAGTTTAGTTAGATATGTTAGTACATAGGAATCGTGTGGTATGAATGTAAATCTTCAAATTTTTAACATACATTTGAATATGTGAGATTGCTATAAGCCTGATTCTTGAATTTCCATTACCGATAAGAAGTTGAAACTTTGCATGGAAGCATGCATAATCATCTTTGCATGATTTAATGACACTACTTAATATAATAACTGCACCGCTATTATTTCATCATGTTTCATTATAATTTAACATGAAAGTAACAACCGAATAGAAATACTTCAAAGCTATTTAAATTGAGCCATGCAGAATTTAGGATGAAATGATCCAAAATCCGTTGATGATTACTTGCAATTTTGACAACGAATGCAGAATACGAAGACTAAACATGTCCAAAGGGAAAAATGGAAAATCATTTTCAAATAAGTTAGTTTTGCCTGGCAGGGCAGTAAGACCACAAATGATTTAAACGGAGTTAAAAACTGATCTCGTACCTTTCTTTGCAGTCAGATCAAGGAGAAATATTTACGTACCGAGAACACATGCAGTTCTCCGCACGTAATCCCCTTCCAATAACTTCTCAAAATAACCTCTGCGAAGGCTATTGGGGGATTATTGAGGAGCTTTTTCGGTGTTATTTGGAGTCAATACCCTCCGCGGTTACACTTTCACATTCGACGGTTACACTTTCACATTTTCTCTAATGTTAGGGTATTTACTCCAAATAACGCAGAAATAACTCCGCAATAACCTTCGCAGAGGTTATTGAGAAGTTATTGGGAGGAGATTACCCACGGAGAGTTGCATGCGTTCTCCGTACGTAAATATTTCTCCAGATCAAGAGTCAACAAAACTATTATTCTTTGGCAATTTGATTGCAATGTGTTGCTGCTACGAGACCTGGGAACGTTGCATGGATTGTCTCTGCTATTGCTGCAGTTAGCCATATCCATCAACTGCAAGTTTGCCTATAGAGATGAATACTTCTTGTGATGATTATAGGTACTCACAGTAGCTGTTGAATCGTAATTGTCTGTAAATTACCTGAACTAGAAAGAAGGAATCGAGAGAGAATTTTGACTTACCTCCGTCAAAAAAATGCTAGATTGGAATAAAACTAGCATAGATATTTGCTTATTGCATCAGAATAATAAAAACAGTTAACACAATCTGCTATTCTGCAAATCGTAAAATGACTTAACTTATACACCATGAAAATCATAGCATACAAAAAAATAGTATTCTTTGTGTTGGGTATACCCTCGAACAAAGAAGGGAAAGGAAAGAGCGTGCTAGCCACTTTTTGATGTCCAAGAAAATAGAAGGGATGAAGGAACGGCTACCCAGCTATTATCAAAAAGTGCATACGCATGCAAGACCTACAAGAAGTGTTGTTATTAAAATGGACACTGCATTCACGGCATTGTTGTCAAGAAGTTCCATTCCTGAAATTCTGATCACAGTTGGTGTTTTTCTCCCAACCACCTTCAAAAGAACAAGACAAAGTTTTAGCCATTATCAGTGAGAAATGAAAATAGGGTTACTATAATTTTTGAATCTAGCCTAACATAATTTGTGAATTTTAATAGGGTTGGCTTGCTTGGCCGACCCTGTTAGAAAGAAAAAGTGAGAAAATGAAGCTTCTAAAACCGGCTTTCTTTGCAAGCATAAAAATCAGTATGCATTAAAATTATGCCATCAATGCATTATGGAACCCTTTAATCCAAATGAAACCAACTCTAACATTTTCCACTGAAAAGAGGTTGAACAAGAGAGAGAGAGAGAGAGAGAGAGAGAGAGAGAGAGAAGATTGCATGTGGTGTAGCCCCATATATTATCTGAGACAGGTATTCACACTTCTTTCTAGAAATCTAATTAGAAAAAATGCATGAAGGGTAATACAATCGATTCAGTTGCAGAAGATGGTCATAACTTCAAAATGCGGTTTTCAATAACTCTTAAATTCATCCCTTTATGTTTGATTGATCAAGTAATTAGTTGATAAAAGAAAAACCTCAACTTTTATTGCAGAAAAACACAGATTTAAAAAAAAAAAAAATAGAATTTAGAAGGGCATGATTACTTTCTTCCGAAGAGTGCAATATCCACTGAATTGAAGCGTTGCGCCCAACAAAGAATCAATGAGGCTTCCAAAAAGCCCAGCAATTGTAGCAATAGGAATTACAAACAACTCTCTCCAAGCAATTTCAGCAGAACATGGAACTGTGAGCCAACCAACCAAAATAAAAGTCAATCCTATTACAAAGCCAGCTGCTGCAGCTGCTAGAAGGCCTTCTAAAGAAACTGCTCCATTGGTGCCCTTCCTAACTTTCTGATAATGTAAAATATAGATGATTGGTGTTAATTCTTCTCATTATCATTCTACTAAATACACAAAATATGAAGTGCATGACTGCAATGCAAACCATCTGACAGACTACATCTGAAAAGTGAGCAGTAGATTTCGATGGAATTAACATTAAAAATATATGCAAAAATATTCTTTCCCTCACTATTAACATGAGAGGTACAAGGATAAAAAAGATAAGAGCAAAGAAAATGTGGTCAGCTGTTGTTTAATAGAAGTGTAAACTAGAGTTTAACACATAAAACACCCAACAACAACAATGAATAGAGAGGATCTATGAAATATTGCATTTTGCATTACAATATCAGAAAGTCATAAAAACTATGCATGTATGCATCTATGATTTAAGAAAATGAGTCATGTCATCTACAAGTACAGTAGAGAGTTCCCTATCATGATCTACATACATAAAAAAGAAAGAACCACTAGGGGCATACTTAACACAAAAAATGAACGGCCCTATTACTTTCACTAGAAGTATGTAAGAAGAGCATTTGTTTGAAATTCAAAAGGAAAGAAAAGTCGGGAGCTGGTTGCGGTGGGAGATGCCGAGTGTCAAACTTCATGAAAGATTTAAGAAAATGTATAACATTGGAATTGTCTCCTTCCACAATAAGGCCTTTGATTTCAAACATCCATGGTTGACAAAAGGTTGGCAGGAGGTGGATCGCCGAGAGTTCCACCTGAGAGCTGTCCCAATGATCGAAATGTTATCCCGCAGCAAGTAGGCCAATACCAATCCACCAAGCTAACTTTTGCTTGGTGATGTTATTTTCCTTCTCACTAAAACTAGATCTTAAAGGGAGCTTTCAGACATCCCATTATATGTTGTTATAGCTTTTAGGGATTATTTTTATGTTAATCCTCTTGCTTATTATCTTTCATGTAACATAAAATGTACATAGGCTAAAGGTTTTCTAATGAAAGTAAAGCAATGAAATTAAAAAAAATGGAAAATAATAATAATAATAATAATAATAATAATAATAATAATAATAATAATAATAATAATAATAATAATAATAATAATAATAATAATAATAATAATAATAATAATAATAATAATAATAATAATAATAATAATAATAATAATAATAATAATAATAATGAAATGACAATAGGGATAAACGTTGCTTTCAGCCATACCTATTAGAAGAAAAAGGAAAAGTTCGACTTCAGTAAGAAAAAGTCAAGAGCGAGTACAAGAAATATAAGAGTAGAGAACATCTCACATAAAGGAAGTAGGAGGAACTCATGAGCGTTAAGGGCAAGTATGAAGACGCTTGCTGCGGGTGATATCACGTGCATCTAGGGCAAGAGCAAGGAGTTCTTGTGCACTCAGGGAGAAGCAAACACTGCTTCTTGGCTCAGGAGGCATATGTCGTGGTCTTATCTGAGTGTGTCGTGGGTTAGGAAGTGTGACCTCTGCAAGTCCTGTGCACATGCAGAGGACGAACATGAGTAAGTTTCAGTGCGGATGATTCTTCGTGTGTGAAGGAAGAAAAGAAAAAAGGTAGAGGCGTCGCATACTGGGAAGGGAAAACCGAATGACATCATAATAGAGTAGCTCGTATGCAGACACAAAAAAGGAGGGAGGAGAAGAGGGGTTGTACATGCAACAATGGGAGGAATCAAACCAAACAACTTCGTATATACAGGAGGCCGGACCGTGCCAATGAAGCTTTCAAAAAAAGATTAAGGTTTAATTTTAAATTTTGAATTAAGTTATGTAATTAAATATATTAAGTATTGATTTATGATTCCACATTAGAATATAGATAGAAGGATATTTGTTTGAAACGAGAGTTGACGACAAAAGACGTATAGGTTAAATAAAGTAAAATTTTGAATCAATTTATATGATTTAATACTTAAGTATTAGTATGAGATTATAATAATATTATGAATTGAATAAGAGATATAAAAATTTTGAATCAAAGGACTAGGGTTTTGGATCTTGATTGTGCAAAAGAAAAGGAAATAAGGAGATAAGGTTACTATTTCTTTGGTAATTATTTATAGTCAATTTACTTGTATGTTGGATATTAATATTAGGATGTTAAAAAATATAGCCATGTGTGTTAATTGAAAGAGTTGAGAGAGATTGTTGTTTCGATAGAAGAAAGAAGAGAAACTTGGGGAAGTATCAATTTATAAGATTTTTAAAATTAAGTGAATTATCTCATAGTAACCAAGATTATGTTTAGGAGTAACACCCTTAATTTAAATTTTTAGATAAACTCACTAAAGTAAACATTAGCGGTTATGGTGGAGAAAGTCGACAAAGTTGAAAGCATCATTTTATAATGAGAAATCAATGCGAGTAATTACTATTTTATTTACAATAAATTTAGTTTCTTTTATTTTTTAAGTGTTTCACTTATTCTTACACATTAAAAGTACATTTATAATTAAAAGAAAATAAGTGAAAATGACATATTGTTTTATTATTTCAATTCTATCAAATTATGCACAGCATTTAAATGAGAATTAAATGAATATAATTGAAAGAAAATTAAATATGAGTTAAATGAAAAATAAAAGATTAAGTTTATTAGAAATCACTCTCTAAAGATACTATTATACTCGTACACATTAAAGAAAAAATGAATAAAAATGGTTGCCTTTATGGTTAATATGGGAAAAAAAATAAAAATGATTGTCTTTATGATACAAAATAGAAATGATTGTGCCTTTATAAACAAAATAACAAATATTTTCACAGTGGCAATTTTAAAAGAAGAAAAAAATGAAAATTTTAAATGATTGATCAAAACATATCTTTGAACAATCATGTTAGAAATTTGCATAATAATTCAATATACAATAAAGTGGTAATTATTTAGTAAGTTGCGTTAAAAATAATCTTCCTCCTTCCTCTTCTTACAAGAGTCGCGGCCGGTTCCCTTCTCTTCCTCCTCTGTAACTTCATCTCTTCCTCTACTTCATTGCATAAAACACTCCTAACCCCCATGGAGTACTTGGTATGGTTCTGCTCTTCTCGACAGAGCCGCACACCATTTCTTCTTCTTCCTTCGATTTCTTTCTTTAAACGTGGCTCAACTTCAACCCGCACGACAAGCCGTCCCCTCCCCTTTCCTCCCTTCAAGTAAGGTTCAACACGATGCACTTTCCTTGGACTGACAGTGGTGCTGGATGCGAAGCTCCTAGACGAAGCCGCGATTCTTCCTCTTCTTTCGACTAGGATTTTCCTTCGAGAACACAAGAGTCAAAGTCTCCCACACACACAAGCATTGACGTCTTTCCTTCTTCATTCCCACTCTCGATCTCCCTGCTCTTTCTCTCGTGCTCTTTGTGTTGGTCTGTTCGAATGAAATGATAACTTCTTCGAATGAAACCTTTGGGATGCAAATACTTAGTTATTATTATTATTATTTATAACTTATAGTTATTATAGGTAGCTCGTTTAGTTTATATGTTCTATCACTTTTATTATACTACTTATTTTATTTTATCACTGGATGACCTTATGTATTGGTTAGAGGATGTTTATTTATGTATTATAGATTAGTGATTCTTTTATAATTGAAAGTGATTATGAATTCATGCTATTATTTAGAAACATTTATTTTCACTGTCTGACCGTCCGTTCCTACCCTGATTAACTACAAATTCCTGGGACATGCTGTGACATAAATGATATTGATTTCAAATAAAATATGCTTTGCATTTTTTATGGATATTCTAATGAATATGTAAACAATATAACACAAAATCGGCGCTAAATAACATGAAATATCTTTAACAAAGGTATCTGATATACTATTCATCAGAATTGTAGTCGAGTTGCAGAGCTTGTAGTAGACATGCTGTACATTTATTTTCATCTTAGGTTAATTTTTTTTATTCTATAATAATAATAATTATTTTATATAATATTTTGGCACAGTTTTTTCTTCCTTGGCTTTGAGGATGAACCTCAGGCAAGTACCATGGATTGTACCTTATGACAGAGCTAGCATACGGTAGCTGAATAGTTCAGATACCTTATGTTTCATGAGGTGATTTTTACTTTGACTGTGGTACGTTATCCTTTAATATACTTCAAGATATTTGGCATATGATACGGTTTCAACTCATTTTTGGCTTAAATCCCAACCAACTTCAGGATTGAAAAATCTGCTATATCCCCAGCCCCTTTACATTTTATTGTATATATGAGAGAACATGCTATGCAACTTCATCATTGGCTGTTCGATGGAGGATTATTTTTTTCCACTTGGATGTAAAGATCTCTCTTTCTTCCAATTCTTTCTGGATGCCATGTCCTTACGTGCTAGAGTTTTTTGAGGTTCTTCATTTTCTCCTTTTTTCATCTTAATTGTATTCTCAATTTATTATTCGATAGTGAACTGTAGTTGAATTAATCAAATCTGTCGCATTTAAATTCTCATGTAGGCAGAAAATCTTGATAATTTATTTTTCTCTATGTGATCTCAAATTTTTGTGATTAATACTTTCAGATAGTCCATCAGCAATTCACATGGATTCAAATTTTTTTTTCTCATAAAGACTCAACTACATACTCAACTGACTAATCTCAAAATTAAAAAAGGCCTACCCAAACACAGGAAGCAGACAATTTTCATTATGTTGTAAACATTAAGTGCACATTCTGATGAGCAAGACTTGCATATCAACCGTTATTTTAATACAACAACGCAGAACTGCAGGGAAAACAAAATTTTGTTTCAAGAAAGACATAACACACAGAACGCAAAACTCTGTTTTACTTGAGTCACAGAATGGATAACCAGTTTCAACAGGTACAAGTAAAAGAATCATGCATACATTCATAATCGGGGTAATCATTAGAATCATAAATTATACTAGGGTGTCTTCATATAGACATAAACCTACATATTACGAAAGCAAATCATACTTAAAAACTAAGATCCCAGTCTCATAAATAAAGAAAAAAGAAGTACAAGTATTTCTTTATA